ATATCGACTCGGAGCCAACAAGGTCCCTCGCTCTCACAGTGCAGGTACACTTGGAAAAAAGGAGGGCAGTTACTTTTAATTCTAGAAAATATTGCCAGATAAATAACAGGAAGTTTTGACTAACAAACAAAAATTTAACTAAGGCTAACATTTGGTTAAATATTCGTTTAAAAGAAGTCAAAAATACTTTAACAATCCATTTAAATGTGGATTTAAGTCACACTCTTTTGTTAGCCTAACTTAAAGATCGTATTCATTATTAACTGAGGTATGGCTTATGATTTGTAAATAACTATACATAACTCTATTTTATAATCGTTTCATTTACAAATCCCAAAAATATTAAAAACAATTTATGTATGAAACTATTATTCAAGTTATTCTTATCATTTGTATGTATTTTTAAAGATTTTTTCGGTGCACTCTAGCAGAGCCGAAGCAGGAACTCTAGCCAGGACATGCAGCATTCCACATGCCTGGCCACACATTCCTTGGCCAGTCGTTGTTATTTATTTAGTTTTGTTTGCCGTTGGCATGCCTTCAATTAATGTCAATTCGTTTTTAAGTAAGATATCGATAGCAGGACGAACCTGGTGGCCCACACTCTGCACATATGGCTAACGACGGAGGAACGCATCAAACGAAATGAAAACGTATGGGCCGGGCAATTTGTCTATATTTGAGGGCCCCCCACTAATATACCTGAGGTAGGGGGGTGGGATTGCCCAGGTGGCCAGGTGATCAGGCCCTATCATCGGCACAGTTGATGTGTGGATATAAACTTAATGCTAATGTCCTGTCCTCGTCATCGTAGAGAACCCCGTCTAATGGAAGGGTAGCAAAAATATTTTCCATTATGTTTGAATGCAATAAATTACCTGTAGAGGCAAAGGCAAAAACCACACACACACACACACACTGACATAGGGCAAAGGATACAGGATATAGAGGGGATCGGGGCACAGATGTACGCACATTAATTTACTTTTGTTGTCACTTTGCCAGTGGGCCACATTCGAAGTTCGCTGCCGGCATGGAAATAAAACAAATACAAATGACAAAGCCGAGACAGAGAGTCCTGGCTGAAAGATGGAGCAGGACACACGGCAAGGTGGCTCCTTGGTAGCCGGGATATGTAAATGTGTAGCGCACACATTTCGGGCGGGCCGAGTGTAATGGAATTGTATGACATTACTTTTAATTAAAAGCGCACAACATTTTTGGCCAGCCGGTTGAGTGCCAGGCTTTCAGTCCCTGTCGCTCGGTGAAAAGGCTTTTCCTCTCTCACTCTCTTTTGGCAGCTAGGTGTGAAGTGTTTTCCATTTGGGACAACGGCTGGTGGACATCCGCCATCGGACATTGGACAACGGGCAGCAAGGGGTTAAGCCGGCCCAGCACTCATTGTTAGACAGCTGCCAAGTCATAAAGACGCTCGGCACTCAACACTGAAAACTGGGCCAACAACGAACGACACAACGTATTTATCAATTGTATTAAATCTGAGAGCAGCAACGGAAATTGCATGCAATTCAATTGCAATCAAGGAAAATGGTCAAGCACTGGCAAAGAAATAGAACAAAGCCCGAGTCCTGATTCAACGCAATTACAAGTGGAGCGTGGAGCCAGCGGATGGCAGATAAATCAGGAGTTTAGCGGATAAACCAGCTCGAGGATGTGCCGTGTGTGTGCCCTATCTCATCTAGAAATGGGACAAAACTTCACTCGAAAAGAAATATGTTTATAATGAAATGCTGCTTGAAAGTATCTGGTTGAGGAACAATTCCAAAACTTTCGATAACCTTTAAAATAAATCACAAAAATAGTTGTGAAGGTAGAGTACTCGGAAAATCAGTTGACCAAGTTTTCCAAGAAGAGGCAATAAGTATAATGATTTTAAAGTTATATAGAACTGAAGTGGACATTTTAAACTTCGTTCGGACCACTTGTTAACTAAAGAAAATGTGGGAGGCTTTTTTTTCTAATGAAATCTTATATATGAACATTTTACAATTACAACCTACTTGGAATTTATTAAATAATATTTTCGGATTATAAGAAATGATTAATTGAAGTATAAAACTCCGTAGATTTTTTCCTCGAGTGTAATTAAATGGCAAATGCTGGCAGAAGATGATTTTGTCAAAAGACTTTTGGCATTTCATACATTTCAAAGTATATAAATTGCAGAGCCAAAGATCAGGAGCTGAAATTGCAATAAGACGGGATTTTTGAGTACTGAAAAACACAAGAACATTAGAGGCGAATGAAAACCTTTTATTCCACCCGCAGATCTGCACCCTCTGATTCTGTGGTTTAAATAAAAACAATATCGAATGGCGACCGAACCCAATGAAAACCCACCCAATCCGCGCAAATACACTTTATGAGGGCCGCGTAAAAACCCAAAATTGCAAATAATGCGAATCACGTGGCTCACTGTGACCCAACGCACAAAAAAGCAGTGGGAAGTGTGTTTTTTTCGGGGGTTTTTGGAGTACAACGAGTGCAAAGAGCAGGGATCCTATCGCACAATCAACCATTACCGAACGCGATTCGAGTTGGGCACGAGAACATTTCGATTCGCAGGCAAATCATAAAAACGAATGAGTAAAATCAAATGGAAAATCAATGAAGCCAGCCATCAATTGCGTTCCGGGGGGCTTTTTTGGGGCCGCGTCACCCGCGGTTTGCATAAATTCCGTTTCGCCGGCGGGGCCGAAAGGATACAGGATACAGGATACCCGAAATGCAGCCCTCGAATTATTATTTTTATTTCGAAACGTTTTCCGAACGCTTTTAATTGGGCTGCATGGGGCATCATCGCATCAGCTCCGGGTACTTTATGCAAAATCAACAATGGTGGTGCCACAAAAGCGGAGAGATGGAGGAAAATGGATGGAAAAACATTTCCCCGGAGCGGGTGGCGCTGTCTCGCTTTCCATTCGACCGCTGAACCCAAAATAATTAAAAGTATTTGGCGTCTGTAAAGTAATTTTTAATTAAGTTGAAGTGCGCCAAAAGTGCGTTGGTGGGTTGGAATTTTCCGGGTGGACCGGCTGCCACGGCTGCTGGTTTCCTAGGTTGCTTATTACCGTGCATAAACATAAACAATTTTAGAAATTAAATGATAATTTCGGAATATTTACATAATTTTATGCATTATCTCGACGGCTGCGGGGTAAATATGGCAGCTCTTGTTGGTTTGTTTTCCACGCTTTCATTTTCTCGCCGCCAAATAAAGATAGATTTTGTGGGGATTGGGATTTGGGAAGGTCCTTTTTTTTAGCCTCTCCCTCTTGGCAAATATTTGGCTTATGAAATTTCATTGTTTTTGGCCCGTGCCGAGAACGTTTCTCTAATCTCAATCCAAGTGATGGCTATCTCGAGCCACCAAATTGATTTTAGTTTCATTTACGTTTCCTGCCTTTTTTGCAGACTGCGACTCGATCAGCCAGTGTCCTGCCTTGGCTGCATTTGGCAGGACTGCCGCATATATTTTTATGACGAGCCAGGGGGCGTGGCATTCTTGCCCTGACATTGGATGCCAGCCAAGTGCAATGAAATTCTATTTGAGCCCCTTGAAAACTGGGTATTTCCCTCCATCTCTTTCAAGTTTTAATTAAGTGCAAATTAGGAGGGGTGTACCATTTTTTATGCAGACTCAAGGAACTGCCAGTGCTGGATATCTGAGATATTCGCCGGATATATATGTTAAACTATTTAAAAGCGTGTTCACATTAGTGCCCCAACTGCTGAAAACGCGAAAACTTAATTAGCAAACATTTTTAATGGCACCAGCAGTAGCAGTAGCAGTAGCTGAACATTTTAATGTTCCTGGCAATTTGGTTATAAATTACAACTATTATTTTAATATTTTCACACATTTTTGTTCCCTGCCACTGGCTGAAATGGAGGGAAAACGTTGCCAAAAGGGAAAGCGAGTGTGTCTGGGCTGTAAGTAACATTATTTGCACCTCCATGAAACTCGCGAGCAGTCGGCAATTATTGAAATAAATTTACGAGCCTGAAACAAATTATGGCAAGGAAATGGAACAATGCCCCGACCTCAGAGTAAGAGAGCGGCTAATGAGTGGGGGTGTTGGGCAGGGAAATGGAAATGGAAATGGAGGCTGAAGCGGTTGCCACATTGTTGTGAAACTTTGCATATGAATGATAATAAAAAGGGGTGACTTCGTCGGGGAAGGAATACATTAATATGCTGCATAATTATGCGATAACCCAGTCAAGACGGGGCTTCCCCGGCTCGCTCGGAATATGCCATAACGTAACATAACATAACGCTACACGGCGTTAACGCTAATGATGCCCCGGCAGAACAGCACACCCAGGTGTGTGTGTATGCGTGTATGCGTGTATGCGTGTGTCCGTGTGGGTGTAAGTATTGGGTGTTACATGCTCCCAAGTACTCCCCGAAGTGCCCCTAAATGCAAGAAATGACAGTCATTTCATATTTGTTGTCCTCCGAGGACCGCACACTCTCTATCTCGCTCTAAGGATCTCGTGTCATAAAATTAAATACTTCACTGGAGAATTAAATGCAGTAAAAAGTGGGCGTGACCCCGCACGAACACACCTTCAAGGGGTTGGTGAAGGGGGAGGGGGGTGCGTTTTAACCAGGACACACAACACAAGTCCTTGCAAATACCTGGGGCGTTGCTCTGGCTGACAACTGTAAAATAAAGCTAATAATAAGTTAAAAGCTGAAAGTGCTTTCTGTATTACGATTATTACGGATTGCCCAGCTATCCCCCCTCCTTTCTCCCCGCCCGGGAATATGATCCCTTTCCCCAGTTTTTCAGTACAGGATTTGCTGGCCGAGCTGAGATGTCGGTAATAAATACATAAACTGCAAGTGCCGAACAACAAGCGACGACCATTGACCATTAGCTGGCCCAGGGAGATTCCCAAGTCGGGTCGTAAAGTATTGTTAAGTATAAAGGTGCAATGGCATTAGAACGTAGTGCTTTAAGCCAACTCACCTGACTGAAATCTCGGAACTTGAGGTGCCAAAGGGTTTCGGACTGCCTGTCATACGCTCATTAATATTGATGAGAATGGTCACCGTTTAATCCTTTAAGAGATTCCAGCTGACCAGCGGATCCAATGGGTTTCTCCATGATTCGGTTGTGAAGTGGTTTGCATGGTTGCCTGCCAATACATATGTGATAGTACATAGCTTTATCAAATTAATAATAAACTCACCGGAGAATCCTATGAAATCCCACATTTTCAGCAACATAACCTCCAATGCAGAAGTCCACATTTTGGTAGTGGTTCACCGCGGCTTATATAAGATCAGCAGTTGGATTAAATGCGTAAGCTGAGTGAGCTATGTACTATTGATAGATCCATTGTTATTTTAACACAAGCACTATTTATAAATCCCGGGAAAAAGAATAAAATGTTCAATAAACGTGTCAATCAGAAAGTAAACAACTTCGCATGGCGATCAGTGTGGCCAGACCAATGGTGGTACAGTCTTCCACCACGCTGCCAGAGTGCAGTGCTGCCAGACACGTAACAAAGCTTATAGGCGCCACCTGCCGAGAATCTGAGGATCGTAACCGAAATTTAAAAAGTTGTTATCTATGAAAAGATTAAAAAATGACCGGCAGTTACAAGGAAGCAAAATCTACAAGGAAAATATACTTCTCATTGGTGCCCAACTAAAGAAGTGATAGTCATGATCCAATTTAGATATTTTTAGGATTGTGCCCTAAAATATCGCTGTTGTCCAAAGACAACAATTACATTAAACTATTTTAGTCTTTATAAAAAAATTCGACCACAACTTTATACATTTCCAAAAATTCGAAAATATCGATTACGCTTTATAATCATGTATAATCTTTTAAGGTATTTTCAAAACTAAACAGGTGATATATTTTTAAAGCTATACTAACAATAAACTATAACTTGGCATTGACAGCTTATACTAAAGTTTCTGAATAAAATTCATCACTTCAGAACCGACCCAATTTAAAATAAGCCATAAAGATGTTGTCCCACCGATAAGCTTGGCAACATGAGGTCGATTTATCGCTAATTTAATTTGGGGAGCTGCATTGGCCGCCCACTGGGCATTCATGGATTGCAATCGGCCTTTGGGGTAACTCATCCACTCAGGCATTCATCCATGCATCCATCAGTCCTTCCATCCATCCGCCCGTCCAGTCATTTGTCGCTTGAGCCGCCATTACAACCGCATTCGAATTCACATTCGCATTCCCAATCCCAATCCCATTCCCATTTGAATCGACTAGCATCGAATTGCATTTGGCCGGAAATTGCATGAGCCCGATTGCTATAATTAAAACTAACTAGCGTTGATTTAGCCAAGATGTTCCACTGAGGTCGGCGGTTTGGCCGGATCGCCTTCCTGTCTTGTCTTCATGCCTTGTCTTTCCTTGTCTTGAGCAGGCGGCGATGCGGTTTTGTTAAAATTACATTTGCTAAAGTTTTATCGCAGCTGCGGCAGTGGCGAAGGCAGTGCCATGATATCAGCGCTGTAATTAATTGCGGCCGCTGCATTTCGGGGTGGCCATGGCAATTGTGGCGTGCAAATTAAAAGCCAGCAGGCAGAAGCTTGTTCTGCGAAAAAGTTGAGGCAAACAAACACTTTGAAACCAGAACAGAAAACAAAAAACGGGGAAAAACCACAAAAAAAGAGGCGCCAGCCAATGACAACCCGGGGGGGAAATGTGTTTGATCGGGGGGTCGAGGTAAGTAAACAGCAACAGGGGCGAAGGGAAGGGGCAGGAGGCAGCTGTAACCAGATCCTGAACCATCGATGGAAGACGAATAAAAATAGGAGTACGTATAATAATAAAAAGCGGGCAAACCGCGAAATATATTGTTGGCAATTTACGGTTGGCATAGGACGAATACAACAAACCTGGGAAAACACAGAGGAAAAATTATATCAAAATTACAAATACTTGTAAAAGTATTTTCAGTAGAAATTTGTGTTTTGTTTAAAATTGTTTTTACAGTGATTACAAAATTGTTTTTTGATGAAAAATAAATCTGAAAAAAATGTGTTTTAAAGATGTTACTCAGAAGAAAATTCAAAACTAACTACTGTTTTGGAAAAATAAAAAAAAAAGTATCGATGAAACTATCATATATGAAAAGTCCTTATTTAAAATTTAATATCAAAAATCTAAAAAAAAAAAAGGTTTTTAAGGTGTATTTATTTAAATGACTAAATAAAGCTTACGTTAGGAGTTTCGTCCTTACAACTGATTTTATAATCAATAAATCTTTATCTTAAAATGTAGTCCTTACAATTTGGAAACTTTATACGAGATTCCAATTTTTCTCAGTGCACGCCCGCAGGCCCAGCGAACTGTCTTCGATTTCAAAGTGCTGCTCGCACTGTGGTTTCTGCAGCCGCTAATGGTGGTGCGGCATAAAGTGTGGTGGTGCGGAGGTGGTGCGTTGTAGTGGTGGAGCGGCGGCTGGAGTGTTGCCGCTGACAACAACAACAACAACAAGTGGAAGGCGAGAGGACAAAGCAGCCTAAAAGTGTCGCTGCAAATTGAGTGGGAAAGGCAACAAATCACATCAAAAACATATTTGAATATTTGCCGTCACTTAGCTTTCAGTGGGGAAAGGCCAGTGTTTGAGACAGTGTGGGTGTTGGCGTGGGTGTGTGTATCTGTGTGTGTATCTGTGAGTGTGTTCGTGCTGGTGTGAGTCTGCCTTGGGTCGTATTGCTTGGTGTCTATGTCGCTGCCAGTGTTTGACTAAGCGCCACCGAGGCGCAGTCGATGAAATTGACACTTTTCCAGCATGCAAGTGGCGAAGAAGCTTTCCAAAATGGGTTGGATATGGCGGCCTATATGCAGAGAAAAAAATAATGCACCTTTTCCCTCAGAATAACATTTTTACAAAGTTCAATATATACATTTAAACACTGCTCTCTGTTCTTTGTGGATAAACTAATAATAAACTAATAGTTTAAAGGCAAAACAAATTCTCCAAAAACAGTTTAAAAGTCCACACTTAATTCCTATTTCCTACCTTAGACTTCAGTTTATGTAAATCATGTGCCGATAATATTAGATCGCATAAAACTTATGTTATAGCATGAACTCCTATCCCTTCCAAATGGTTAAAAAAAATTTTAAATATTTAAAACAAAAAAGTTGTGCATTGCAAATTTACATTGTTAACATTGTTGATTTTATATTCTTTATTTATTTGTTTCTCTGTTCTTCCTTCCTTTATACCTCTAATCCAGCTCTTTAGTTATGGAATATTTCTTGCAGTGTATTTACCGACAAGTGCTGGCTGATAAAGAGGTGAAATCTGTACAGTTTACTTTTGGCCGTCGCTGTCTCTCATTTTTCGGTAAGCAAAGCTTAACGGTTAGCTGACACTTTGCATACAGTGGGTGGGTGGAGAAAGTGGGAGAAATGGGGTGAAAGTGGCAGAGCCTATCCACCTGCCACCAAAATGCTCTCTGTGTCTGTGTGTGCGTGCGAGTGCTATGTTTACATGTGTATTGTAAGTAAAATGCCTCAGGCAAAAGTGTACATTACGAAGTTTTAAATTACACAAAAATGTACATACAAACATGGAAAGTACAGAGAGAGAAAGGATAAAGAGGAAAGGAAAGGGAAGAAGGGGTGAGAGAACCGCAAGGATATGTGGTAAGCTGTGCGCGTCAGTCCTGGCTCCTTAACCTTCTGTTTAACATCTTCGCATGTGAGTTCACTTAGGCAAAATAGGCAATGAATTCTAGAAAATCTACTTTAAATAGAACTAGTCTATAAAATAATTTCTTGAAAATCTACTAAAAAAGTACGTATCTATAAAATCCAGTAAACACAATTTTAAAAAATAATCTAGATCTATGAAATTATAGCTTAGAATTTTGATTATACATATATGGATTGTAAGTATCATAGTTTTGTATTATAGTTTTTTTTTAGTAATATTCCACTTTTTGATTAAGTAATAAAACTTACTTCTTTAAATTTTTATTTAACTCCTAGAAATGGTTCACTTTGAAAATATACAAGTCTTACATATTTCTTTCAGTGTTTCCGTGTACATACAAACTGGGTTGGTAATGGAATGAAATGGGTGGCATGTTCGAAAGAGGAGGAGTGAGTCCTGCGGGGTGTTGTATCAATGGCAACTCCGGGATTGGCGGGTGCACGTGTCAAAATTTGCGCAAAGGATATACAAAGTAACTCATGCTAATTTCGCCATTGTTGCTCAGCGATGAGGGGAGCGGGGTGTGTGGAAAGTAAAAAAGGATGGGGAAAGGGGGGAAATTCACAGCCATCGATTTGCGTTCGCGTGTGTGTGAGGCTTTTGTGCAAATTATAAAGCGGTGTGTGCAAGTCTGGTGTAATGGATAATGGTTAAGTGGAGTGGAATTGTAATTTCTATTAAAACGGAACGGAAAAGTCGCTTATCTGGGGCTAGATGTGCCTAGAGGTTTTCCATTAAATAGACGCCTTCAGAAATGGCCGGGGTGTCAATCAATATTAGGCAAAAGTATCCAAGGAAATTCCATTTCGATATTCGATTTTCCTCTGTCATTACGGGATGTTATCAGCTCGGGGCCAAAAAACACAGAACCAAAACAGGATCGACCTTTTCACTCTGCCGGTCCACAGTGGGTCAAATGGGCTCCGGCTTAAGCTTTAATTTCAGCTAAGCAAGCACATTGACAACCGTAAATGGTACACAACTGCCAGTTGTACTTACACTGAAAGAAAGGTTGCAGAAGAAGTTTACATGCATTTTTTATAGAGAAAGATATAAGTAGTTAAAAACCCAATAAAAAGAAAAACACCCACAAAACTCCGGAAAAATGACTTAGTATTTAACCATTATTAACAGAGCAGATTTAGTTATTAATTCATAATATTTTAAAAATATTTATTTATTGTTAAATGTCCAATATAATGTACTGTGGTATCTAATATAATTTAATGTCCTTTTATAAATAAATCTTATTTTTTCCGAGTGCAGGCTTTGCATATTTGCATGTAAATACGTGAAGCCCTCACATTTAGAGATGCACATGTACACACACATGCGGCACTGCAATTCTCAGAGAAAATTGCAATTTCGGGTTTTATTTTATCTCATTTGGGAAGCTGACTTCTAGTTACGGCAGTGACAGCAAATAGCAGCCAGGCAACTGCTAATTGACTGGCCTATGTCGAGACCTTTGACTTTCGAAGGTTGTCCCCCTGTCCCCGTATGCCAAACCCCCTCTGTCACCTGCTCCTTGGGTAAATACCATTTGCGGTTGCAATTGCCCTAGCCTACATAATTTGACCGCACTTAAAGTGCACAACTTTTTAAATGCCAAAAGCCGAACACGTGCAGCTGATGCAACTCAAGCTGCAGCCACAGTGTCAACTAATTGCGAATGGCAAGCGCTGATAATTGAGCCCGATTGCCGCTCATAATTATTGGGCGCCCCACATCAAGGGCCCCCATTGCCCCACATCCACATGCATTGGCACTTGATGGCCTCTCGAGCTCTGAGTCCTGAGGTCTGAGTTCTGAGCTC